GAGGAGAGGGGAGAGGGGAGAGGGGGAGGGGAGAGGGAGAGGGAGAGGGAGAGGGGGAGAGGGAGACAAGAGAGAAGGTGGCTCCAGGTTAGAGACATAGCTCAGTGGTTAATAACACTGACTGCTCTTCCAAAGGCCCTGAGTTCAATTCCCAGTAACCACATGGTGGCTCACAACCATCTGTAATGGGATCCGATGCCTTCTTCTGGTGTGTCTGAAGACAGCAACAGTGTACTCACATATATAAAAAATAAATATTTTTTTAGTCCAGGCGGTGGTGGTACACACCTTTAATCCCAGCACTTGGGAGGCAGAGGCAGATGGATTTCTGAGTTTGAGGCCAGCCTGGTCTACAGAGTGAGTTCCAGGACAGCCCGGGCTATACAGAGAAACCCTGTCTCGAAAATCCAAAAAAAAAATAATAATAATAATATTTTTTTAAAAACAAAAAGAAAGAAAGGGTGGCTCCATAGATGTGCAGATGCTGGCAGTAGCCACTCACCTACGGGCCTGGAGCACCTAGCATCTTGCCATCCTGTACCTGACACTGCATGCACAAGAGAGTCTAGAGAGGCACATGGCCCCACAGGACAGGATCCCCAGAATGGTCTGAATATGGCACCCCATTTAGCTCATTAATGAGGGAAGGGCCCACGCTTTTGAAATACAGACAACCCTTGAAAGACAGGGCTAAGGGAAACCCTTGGCTGGTCTTTACCAGGAGGGACTGGTCTGGGAATGTGAGAGCCATGGAAACCGGTAACCAAGAAGTTGGGACGAATTTGGGAAACCCTATATAAGGGCACGGGAGCTAAATCCACGAGACGTAAGGCGACTAGGGCCTCGTGGCTCTTCTCCGAGGCAATCTATTTTCCCTGGAGAATGTGGCTCCGTTATCTTCTCTAACTCTAGGGGTCATTAGTGGCCTCCTTACGCTTAAGAGTGACGGGGACGTGGTGAGGTGCTCCCGGGATCCCGCCACGCACTGACAGGCCAGGTTAGAGCGGCGTCAGACGAATCGTTGCCTTCGGAGGCTCGGCGCAGCCGCCTTTACCTGCGCTGGGAGGAGGGGCCGCCGCCCGCGCCTCGGCCCGCCCCGCCCCGCCAGCTCAGCGCTCGTTCCGCAGGCCCCAGGCCCGGGCCTACCGCCGGGTCGCCCGCGTCTGTGGCTCTCTGGTCGTGGTCCACTGGCCGGCGAGCTCTGCAGCAGCCACGTAGTGCCACAACCCTTAGTTTGACCGTGCCTCCCTCCGCCTGAGAGCCACTCGCAGCAGGCGCCACGGGGCAACCCCGCTGTCGGGGTCCTCCCTGAGAAAAGGCCGTCGCTATGGAGACGTGTAGCGAGCCGGCGGCCGTGAAGCTGGGAGGCACAGCCCGCAAGTGATTCCCACCGCAATTGCGGCTCCGGGTGGCCAGCAGCACTGACCGGTGCACGATGCTCCGGCCAGGTCGCTGCTCCAGCCCTCGTGAGCAGTGTGCAGGGTTCTAGAAAAGCTAAGAAACGTACCTCCCTTGGCGATGGCGCGGGGCGGGGCCAGGGGTTGTCCGTTCCCGTCGGAGACATCCGCTTCCGGGGCCACAGCCGAAGTGAGACGCTTGGCTGGTCGGCCTGGCTGCCTTCGGTATCGTTCTCCGCGAGCCCTACTTCTTAATAATCGGCTACCCTCGTTGCACTGTCGGTATCGGTCTTCGGCAACCATGCTGGAACACCTGAGTTCTCTGCCCACCCAGATGGTGAGGGCGCGCGTCCCAGATCCCTCGTACGCCTTTTTGGAGCCTAGCGACTTCTAAACCCCCCTGCTGGAGCACCGAATGGTGCTGCGTGTTTCGCGAACCCTAAGATTGCCTTCACTTTTCCTTTCTTCTCTTCCCCCAGAATGGATCCCCTTTCCCATAGTCTGTTAAGATCCCCAAGTTTCCCTGGAAAATCATGTTTTTGCTTCTTTATTCTCGGGCCCTTGTGGGAAACTCCTGGTGTTGCCTTATGCCAAAACTGAGTTTCCTACAAGAATTACAGTCCTTTGGTAGTAGGACCAACTCTTCCCCTTCTTTTTCGTCCCTAGGATTACAAGGGGCAGAAGCTAGCTGAACAGATGTTCCAGGGGATTATTCTTTTTTCTGCAGTAAGTATTGCATTACCTTTAATTCTTAATCCTGCCTCCCTTGGTTTGACTGCATTTTATATACGTTGTTTCTTTTCAGATAGTTGGGTTTATCTACGGGTATGTGGCTGAACAGTTTGGGTGGACTGTCTACATAGTTATGGCCGGATTTGCTTTCTCGTGTTTGGTAAGATATTTGT